TATTTAATTCAGCACAGCAAAATGTTTTTACATGTATTTTCAGTCAGTGAATTTGAACTCAAAGACATATGACACCTACCAGTTTTACGGTCTGGGTAAATATGGCACTTACAACATTACCATACATTCTTACACCAGTGTGACAAACCTCACTAGCTACGTCACAACGTGTACAACTGCTGAAGATGGTAGGCCTTTCATATAATTGAGCCGCGTCACGACAAAACCAACGTAATACGTTTGCGACCAGCATGGATCCAGACCAGACTGCGCATTCGCGCAGTCTGATCAGGATCCATGCTGTTTACTTACAAACACTATTAGAAGAAGAGAAGCTGATAGGGAACATCATGGATCCTGATCTGACTGCGCGGATGCGCAGGCTGGTCTGGATCCATGCTGGTCGTAAACGCATTACGTTAGTTTTGTCGTGACGCGGCTCATATAAATATCATTATTTTGGCATTGCGAAAAAAATGTAAATATGTTCAATGAAAGTAGAACTAATAGTACTTAAATTCTATTTATGAAAAATGTACAATGTTCACATGCTTTCAAACCTAAGCAAAGTAAAATTCTAAACCAGATTTTATTATGTTTCATTAAATATTTCAAATGCTTTTATTTAATTTTTAAATTTCAACAGCCAGATAAGAGAGAGACAGACACAGAAAAGAACAAGTGCGATTTATTTATGACAATGTATAGTCTGGAGTCATTTTTATCAGAAATGGTTATAATGAATTTGACATATGTATAATCCATTCTGTGACAAGAAAGCACCCCGTATCTTTATTCTAAACATTATTATTATCATTATAATTATAATTATTATTATTATCAACATTATTATTATTACTTTTATTACTATTACTATTATTATAATAATAATAATAATAATTATTATTATTATTATCATTATTATTATTATCGTTATTTTTAATATTATTATTATTATCATTATAATTATTATTATTATTATTATAGTTCCTAATAGTGCTCCTTTGACATTTTACTGCACGGGAATATCGACGTCCTCGGTGAGATGCACGTGGAGTAGCCTGGATCAAGTATATTGGAACGGTGTACCTATTGGTATGTCTATTAGATTTAACCCTTAACCCCGCTAAATAACTTAAATAGACTTGTCCATCTTTATATCTGGACGAAACCATTCATTAGTTGTGGTGAAATTTGACTGAATAGCAAACAGTTCAGACTTTGATGAGACGGTAGGGATGCAGTTTGGTTAAAATCAGCTCCTAAATAATGCTATGTAAACATAAGAAGATCTGAAATGTTGTAAGATTGGCACGGATGTCCCGGTTATCTTGGTCTACGGGTAGAATATGTTACCACCAGATTAAAGGTTAAGATCGCGTGGTATATAGTACATTTGTATACTAGCATTTCGTTTAACATTTTGACATTTAAACATCGAGCATATTCAAAATTACATAAGGTCAATTCCATCAATTCCATCATATTCCATCAAATACATTATAGCAGGGTTAACAATGGCGAACTTGAGGTGCTGTTCTCACATAACATTATAATGACAAAGTACAGTTAAGTAATGTTTTGTAACAATATAAGGATATATACCTCTAATCATTGTGCAATAAGGAAGAACAAATTCAGTGACGTTTTCAAGTAGGTTATATGTTTATATAACATGTATCAAAGGTGTTTAATTGAGGTAAGTTTTTTTTCTCCTTTGAGATTACTCTCCTATGTTCTTTCCTGAATTTCGCTCCCCTTTTTACTTTGAATTTTTCTTTGGGTTAGGTTTTACGTTACACCAACACTGTAAAGGTCATAGATTACCCATATGGAGACTTTCCAGCTTTACTGGTGGAGAAAGACCAACGGTGTCCCTCAATGCATTATTTCAGACAGGGAACCACCGAAGTTACGTAAGCCAGCTTAATAGCTTCCTCACATAAAGTATCCAAATTCCTTGCGGGATTCGAACGCAGTGATAAGGGACAAGTGGTCGTAGCATTGCTACTTTTATATAAGTGTCTATGTTAAAGGAAGGAATGAAGAAATGAAGGAGGGAAGGGCGTTCTTTACTGACCAGGTCTGAGAGTTCCGCTTTAAAAACATTGGTGTATTTTGTTGTATTTAAAACTATATTTGTATCTATTGGTATGGTCTTAAATTCATCGGCCATTTATAATGTTATAGTCACTTAGTTGATCACAGAAGTATTATCCAAGAAAAAGTATAATATACTTCTAATTTTAACCGTTGTGTATTTGTTTGTATTTCAGGTTTTAGATTACAATGGTTGAGCTCCAATTTATCCTCACTCTTCGAGACGACCGTGAGTTCAAATCTCACAACGACCCTCGTGACTGGACTCAACTTCGGTACATTATACTATCTTATGTTAAACCCATATACAAGCATCGGTCAGGGCACACTGTACTCAACCACAAGCGCCTACACATTAGGTACATCCTTATTTATGTTTTTAAATACGTTTGTCGCGCGATTACCTCAAGCTAGGTAAAGGTCAAGGTCTATTGATCCCTGGCCTAATTTCATGGCGTGAAAAGTATTTTCTGTTCGTCATGAAAATCAGTTGACTTCTTCTGGTTAGAAACATTTTGTGCAATATTAGATATTCAAAATTAACTTCCATGGCTCTAATAAGTACTGGTTAAATAATACAGTGTCATTTTCTACTGATATAACTGGAACTATTGGTAAAGTCCAATATTAATAGTTTCCACCATCACTTCAAGTGATACAACAGACCGATGAAAAATGAACTAAATGAAATATTTTCAGTATTCGATGTTATCTTATAAAATAAATAAAGATTACACAATGTTATCTTATGTAATTCTATGTTTATATTTCAGGATTTTCGGAACCAGTTGTAGGTAAGTCAAGTCATTATGTGATGCTGTAAACACTAACTAAACCATAGAAAACCCTTTAAAGGGACTCGACTGCGGGTTTTTGGCATTACGGGAAAGGAAATAATATTTCGATATTAAAGTTTTATTTGAATAGGTCAGGACCAATAACATGTGCATGTGATTCGCTCACTATACATTTTTCCAGAGTAATTATTCTTATTAACGCTTTTCACCCTAATCCGGCTAAGAATGGCACAAATAACAATATATTAAATAGTATGTTTCTTATTTATGTTTTGCATTTCTTTCTGTTTAAAGTACCTATGTAAGGAATTCAAAATTATGTTTTAGGCTTTAGGACAGCATTGGAGTTCCTTTAATTCAGGACTTGTATTGTAAAGATTGTTGTTTATTGCTAATTAATGTAGCCTGACTGAAATCCACATGACTGGTTGTATTGATTCAGTATATTGATGATACAATGTTGATGCATTTTACGCCACATATGACTAGATATTAAATATGTATAAAGATTTTGAAAGTGTTATTAGAGAAAGGGATACAATCTAATTCATCATTTTCTGTTTTATATTAACACACAATGACGTCCCTTTATTGCCTACCTAAAGACAACCTAGTAATATTTTCAAACCTATCTTTAGAAGATTAAAACCTAAATAATTATTGCATGTTTTAGTACAATTTTACCGATGTATCGGTCTTCTATACTTTAATTATTCACAAGACTCCCTTTTTGAAAGCGTAGAATGCCGCGCTAACCAAAAACCCAATTTGAAATATGCACTTAAAGTTTATAACAGCAGTATGTAACTTGTATTTTCTACTGCTGTTACTGACAGTAACTATCAGCAATATAGCAGCAATACTGCTGTATCTAGTAGAATTTTCTATCAGCAGTGGTAGCATTTATATTCTCTTTCCTACCTATATTTGATAATTTCATATTCATTTTTGGAATAAATCGGAAGATATTTTTATAGATTAACATGTTTGTAACATAATATTGTGTCGGTAGCAATATTTGTAAGATATTAACTTTGTAAGATATATATCACTTAAAAATCAAATATTATAATTCCTTCCATAGAAAATGTGACAAGATATTACTGTAATGAAGCTGTACCGGGATTTCTGGTGTTTGGTTGGGAGGAGATGCCGTGTACGATATACACGGGGACAATCAGTGCACTGTTTGTGGTGTGTGGCCTGTTTATTGGTGTAATCGCGTGCATGTCGTGTTGCAGCAAGACAGCGTCTAATGATATCAGCCTCAACTTTTTGTTAGTAAATTTAACTATTTCACATGTTAATTATTATAAGGTTCGAGCGAAAAGAAAATGGTTTCCATATACAAGTGTTTCAGCCAATTCCGGTTAAAATAAAGACGTTTTTATTGGTTCATAAATTTTTTTTTAAACGTTTCTAACTGATTTAACTTTTCATCAATAATAAAAAAAGTTTCGTCAAAAATCACAAAAGTTTTGAAAAGCCCATTTCAATAGTTTATTTTATTATTTAAAGTGTTTAAAGTTTGATCACATTTTGATACCGATATTAAATTTATTACACGCTAATCAACAGGCATACTTTGTTTCCAAATTTTAAAAATAAAACAAAATGAATGCCAAATAAAAACATGGTATGTAAGAGCAATTGTTTCTGTCACCAATAGGCAGTCTTCAGGTGGTAAAAGAAGAAGACGTCGTGATGATGATGATGATAGTGACGGTGGTGATACCGACAATGATGCCGAAAAGGACGAGGACATGACTGATGATGAAGAGCACGGTGAATATGACGATGATGATGGCTATGAAAATAAAGGTTACAGGTTAGTGTAGACATTATATAAAACAAATACTAGTACGTTGAGTGGATCAATCGAAATATCAACTGTAAGTAAATAACTGGTTTCTAAAGCTCTAATATACATTGTATAACCTAAATTTATAGAGAAATTTTAAACCTTAAAGAACTCCCAAAGATACACTCAATTATTAATTTATTAACAGAACCATTTTGGATTGTAAAAAAAACAACAACAAAAAAACAAACAAAAAAAACATGTTGACTACATTGAATCTCTCTCTACCTATCCCATTTCGACATAACTCATTAAATATTATCAAAGTTCACGAAACATGTTATCTGAATCTGATTCAGGTCAGATGAAGATCCACGAAGTCCCGAGAGTAGAAAGACATGCTCCCCTGACGATGAAACTAATTCTCAAGGAGGTTCACCAGACCTTGCACCTAGTAGACAGTCAGGGATGATGGGCGGGGCAGGTATATAATCTTTTATTTCTATCATGCAACGTTTGAATATATTGATTGCAAAATTACAGTCACTGGCTCATTATCAGCAGTTCGTGTAATGAAAGTCTTACATATTGGTTTCAAATCAAACTATTATGACACTAGTATGGGTCAATTTCATGTATATGTATATATTTCGCTTAATCTATTTAATTACCATTTTGTGAGATTTGTGCTATACATTTTATTATATTGCAATAAAGAATCACAGAAAATGGAGCTAGAAAGGCAGTTAACAGCTAGAGATGTTGAACTAGAAGCCATAAGCGAGGATGAAGATGTTGTGTCTGACAGTGACTATGACACGCAGTCTGAATATGAAGATACCGATGAAGCTGAACAAGAAAACGATGGTAATGATGCAAGCGCCGCAGGTGTATCTGTATTTGCAAGTAAAGATGTAAAGGCCAAAGGGAAGAAAAACGTAAAGGAAATCAAGGCAATTGGAAAGGCAAAGTCAACAACTTTATTGAACAAAGACGCTAACAAAAAAATCAATGCTACAGTAGCTTTAGTGCATACAGAAGATCCATGTAGTGATAAAATTGCAAATAATAATGAAAATAATGATCGAGATTACAACAAAAGTGCAAATGGAGATGTAGCTCCCGATGATGATTGGGGCGAAGACAATAAAACGGTTCACTTTGGTATAAAAAATGGTAAATTCATCAAAGGTGCACAACCAAATATGAAGTCTAAACAACAGCCTTTACAATCAACAAATGGCACAAGAAAAAGCATGGTAAAAATAGATAATGATTGGGATGATGACTTAAGTAGCTCAATTAATGACCCAACCAGCAATACAGATGCAATGGCAAGAGTAGAAGTTGATGACTGGGGCAGCCCAATTGATGACAAAACTAAAAATACAAATATGCGTGCAGTGTCAAAAGGTAAGTCAAACATGTATACAAAGACAAATGTTCCAATAACAGCAACAGACGAAAATAACTGGGACGATGTCGTAACAGAAGAAATATTTACTCTTAAAGGAAGTAAAACAATTTTGCCAACAAGGAGCAAGCAAAATTCAACCAGGACAAACGAATATGAACTTAAGTCTTTAAATTTAAAAGCGAGTCGAAGTAGTAGTTATGATGACAAAGCTTTGAACAAAGAGCTCTACAATGGCGATCCACTTAAAAGAATAAAAGGAATAAAAACACCAATTAACGAGTTGGAAGATGATGATGACTGGGGCACAGATGTAACTACAGAAAATATCAAAGGACCTATCAGTGTCTCCGCAAAAGCAACACATCTAGGCAAAATGCCAAGTAAATTCAAAACGACCGTCTTACAAACACAAAATAAAAATGAAAGTCACGAGATTTTGAAGTATAATTATAAAAGCAAGGGTGAAGCATTTAATGGTACAGAGAACAAAACAGAACATGGTGGTAGAGAAACAAGATTCATCAACAATGCTTCAAATATTGGACAGCACACAAGAACTACATCACGAAAAGTTCAAGAAATAGCTCACAATCCTCAGATAACAGAAAATCAGTCAAAAAGCAATAAAGCTAAGACTCAAGAGAAAGAAAAAGGAATTACAAATACAAAAGGTCAATCAGGCAATCAATTTAGCAACTTCAATCGAGATACAAATCAAAGCCTAGTTGTCCCTAAAAAGGAAATGGGAAGAAATCAACAGTCTCTTCAAGATCAACATATTATAGGGTCACAACAAAACACTTTAAATGTTAAAACTGGTAATGCTGAACAGAAGACCAGGTTCTTCATTGAAGATGAAATCGATGATGTTAAATTACCAAATGACAATATTCAACGTCCAGACAGCGAACCACCAGGGAAGAAAATCTCAACAAAGGCATGGTTACCACAGCCAAACAATGATGGCATAAAATCTGGGAGAAAAACTCCAGTGAAAGCTTTTCCAAAAGTACAAAGCTGGACAGCTATAGAAATTGAACCAGTCCTTGGTTCAGACAGACTTGAAAAGAAATTTCCATTTCTCAGTATTGATAATATCAATGCTGAAAAGACAAGACAAATTGGCTCATCATCCAGTAACCACCTCGATAAGAATGTTAGTGACAGTGAGCTTACAAAACCATCTTTTAATGAAAGTACCAGCTATCCATCTGTACCTAAAAGAATCAGCGAAGGGGATGTGCTCTCAAATCTTGTAAAAACAAAAATTGAGCCTCAAGATAAAATATTTTATGGTTTCGGAACGGGTCGATTTCGAAATATGGCTGCTGCATGGATTAGTAAATTTCGGTCCAAGAAGAATCCAGTAAAAACAGCTAATGTTGCATGGTAAAAATGGAAACTTCTGTACATTATTATTTTGTTATTCATACAATATTTACAAAATACACATATATTGATAAAAGAAAATTAATGAAATTCAGAAAGATTTATGAAAAATGTTAATTTGATTTTTTATTGTAATATTCACAGGTTTGACTGCAAGCTTAGAAACTTAAATTGCACAATTAAAGCAAACTTTAACTAGAAATGTGTCCATAGGACACGGATGCCCCCACACACCACTGTTCTGTCAATCTTATGACTCTAGGCCAAATATTTTTTGGACTACATGTGCCACAAGTTGAAAACTAAAAATAAACAAAGGGCCATAATTCTGTTAAATTTGGTCGCAGCAAAAATTCCTACCTTTACTACCATCTACACATTAAGGTTGTTAATCCCTGGAAGTTTAAGCAAAATCTGCCATCCGGTTTAAGAGGAGTTGCGTTCACAAAATTTCTACATAGTATATAATGAAAAAAACAACAAAGGGCCATAATTCTGTTAAATTAGGTTGCAGCAAAAATTCCTTCCTTTACTGCCATCTACACATAAAGGTTGTTCATCCTTGGAAGTTTAAGCAAAATCTGCCATCCGGTTTAAGAGGAGTTGCATTCACAAAATTTCTATTTAGTATATAGTGAAAAAATCAACAAAGGGCCATAATTCTGTAAAGTTTGGTCGCAGCGAAAATTCCTTCCTTTACTACCATCTTCACCTTAAGGTTGTTCATCCCTGTAAGTTTAAACAAAATCTTGCCATGCGGTTTAAGAGGAGTTGCGTTCACAAAATTTCTACATAGTATATAGTGAAAAAATCAACAAAGGGCCATAATTCTGTAAAATTTGGTCGCAGCAAAAATTCCTTCCTTTACTACCATCTACCCATTAAGGTTGTTCATCCCTGTAAGTTTGAGCAAAATCTGCCATGCGGTTTAAGAGGAGTTGCGTTCACAAAATTTCTTCATAGTATCTAGTGAAAAAATCAACAAAGGGCCATAATTCTGTTAAATTTGGTCGCAGCGAAAATTCCTTCCTTTACTACCATCTACACATTAAGGTTGTTCATCCCTGTAAGTTTAAGCAAAATCTGCCATCCGGTTTAAGAGGAGTTGCGTTCACAAGATTTCGGGACGTACGGACGGACTGACGGACGGACGGACGGACGTTCTAACAGGAGAGTAATAATGTGGCTACTCTATTGTTCTCTCTATTGTTCTTTTTAGCCACACAAAAGAAAATAGCCACATAAAAGCATTACGGAATGAATGACATCAAAGAGAAAGAACAGTTACCTATTGTCCCTCTAGCCACATAATTACTCTCCTGTGAGTGCGGACTGACGGACGGACTGACACTCGGACGGACAAGTGCAACGCTATATGCTCCCACTCTGTGGGGGCATAAAAAGTTGGTGTGACTGCTTGAAAGACCCTAAGCCTGTTAAGCTACTATCCCACATATTGCAGTTTGGGCGTTTTTCAAATAAAATATCACCAAAAGATAAAATTTGAAGAAATAAATAAAAAAGTAAAAGTTTTTCTATGTTTATGATGCTGTAATTTCAAACCGTTGCAACGTTTTATTTTGTAAATATTGACTTAAATTATACACATCCATTATTATTTTTATCCTGCAATGGATTGCTGCACAATACATGTATATCATAGAAAAATATGTCTTTAAAAAGAGACACAAAAGAAGAACATAAATCGGTCATCTGGTGTAAAACTGGCATTTATATACATTGTAGTTAGTTCTACCTACTGTACATAAAGATAAACTACATGCAACATGTTCACGGGTGTGATAAAATGGATATAAACAGTGTCAAGTGAAACATAACAACCATTAGGTCACAGTTATGCAAATTTTACTTCTATGCATATCAAATAACAGTAAACAAATATGTTGATGGTTTTTGTACCCGTTTTGTGTGGGAGAGTAGCTTTAAAGCCATAGGAAATGCAATGATTATACAACAATCAATTGATGTGAAATAGGTAGCGTTAAATTATCTTCCACAGTTAACCCTTCCAATTGCTGGCAATGACAATGACTTTCCTAGGCCAGACTACACATACACTCTAGTAAAATCTGATCAGATTTTACCTTACTGACAGCTGAATCTTTATTGTCTTAAAGATAAAAAATTCACAGATCCAAATTCGAAGCATGACACTTCTATCACACAAGATTAGTATTGTAAAGTATTCATAAGTTCACAATACATTGACGCTTATAACAATCCTTCTTTTGTTGATGTGTGCAGTAATGTCAGGGGACATTGTGACATAAACAACAATAGCATTGCATCAAGTACAAGGTAGAATCTTGAACATCAGAGGACATTACTTGTAATTTAACAGAATAAAAGCAGCTCATTTTCAGTAATAAATATTAGTTGTTGTAGTACATCTTACTGATAGTACATGTATTTCATCAGGAAGTGTCTTTTTCGATAAAAGTATCACAGAATTGCCAAAAGTTCATTATTTTCCCAACTCCAACTTCTGGGTCCATGCTTATAAAGTCCTTTATATTGTTTGTAGCATCTGAAAATATAAAATGTAACATAACTCTTACATTACAATTCACATTGATACAAATGATACAAAGATTTCTAGAGTTTATTTTATTTTTATGCTAGGAATATGGTCAGCATTTTATAAATTTGACATTTTGCCTGTTGTGTCACATGATTAGGTAACTTTATGCACACCGATTTCAAAGTGTCACATGGTTAGGCAACTTTATGCACACCGATTTCAAAGTGTCACATGGTTAGGCAAATTTATGCACACCGATTTCAAAGGGAGATCAGGTTAAAAGTTCACTCCCAACACTGTCAAAAAGCTTATCTAGTTTCAAGTACAAAAAAATGTTTGTTTCAAGTACAAAGAATATTTGTTTCAAGTACAAAGAATATTGTTTTCAAGTACAAAGAATATTTGTTTCAAGTACAAAGAATATTTGTTTCAAGTACAAAGAATATTTTTTTCAAGTACAAAGAATATTTTTTTCAAGTACAAAGAATATTTGTTTCAAGTACAAAGAATATTTATTTCAAGTACAAAGAATATTTATACTGACATGAGTTTCTCACATTATGTTTCATTTTACAATTGTTTTTAAATTAGATACATGAACTAGGTAGATAGGGTAGTATCAGATTAAGGTAAAAAAAAAAGCAAATGTTTTAGGTCTTAGAATATACCTTTTGTTTGTATACATGGATAGGATGGTGCAGGCTTCAACCATTTACCATCCTCGTCTAACATATGAGATCTATCTGATGCAAATGTTGATAAAAATTCATCAGCTGGAATCACTCGAAACTGCCTGAAAATATCCCGATTGTTAAAGCAGACAAACATTATAAGTGTTCAAATCATAGTGCAGACAATGTTAATAAAGTCAGACATAACCTTATAAACAGTCATAACCCCATTTCTTCATTACTTTTTAAACAGTACCAACAGTAATGGACTAGAGTGGGGGGTGAAATCATAAAGATTATCATAGTCTTAACCTTCTGAAATTGTGTTTTAGAATTAGAAATGTCAATTAAATGTTTAAGAGATTTCAATATCAAAATATGCAAATTGAGCAACAAACAGTATCGAGCCACAGGCTGGTCAAACTACATGGATGTACATGGTCTCGCTCTTTATCCTGTCACTTGTCTCAATTTCGGCCCGATAACAAGGTGCCGTATATTTTTACTGATCTACGGCACTTGATCACGTGGTGTGCATGTTTGCCGGACTACTTTTCAAGAAAAAATATAAAAACTGTCGTTAAATCTTCTGTGTGTAGAATAACGAATTTTGGAAACGTTGATAAAACTTTGTTTGTTTATTTTATTTCACTCTATAATTTTTCAAGCGAAATAAAAAATTATTTAAAGTGAAATAAATGTAAAACTTAACTGTTTGCGACATTTTAGAATAGCGTACTTGATTTGATTGTTTTGCACGTGCTGTTTGGCGCTACATTGTGACGTCACGTAAACAATACTTTAAACGTCTGAACAGCGTTAACGACTGAATAAAAGATATTGGTATTCAAATTCATTTTCTTAGTTAGACCATTTTCTTTCATTCTAGATAGTTTTCACAACAAAATTCGACAAAAAATTGTTTTTATTTATCACATTTTTCAAACAAATGGCGCCCTCAATGTGAAAATACACGGGGAGATAATAAGAACGGCGAGTGCATTGGTGTAGAAAAATTAGGGCCTTCTTTGTTTATATAGAAACATTTCCGATAGTGTGATTAAAGGTTGTTTGCCTAATAAAATTCTTTAAAAAACGGTGACAGGATAAATAGAATAATAGATTGGTGTCGTGGATGGAGAAAGTTTATCTGGCTCTGCTCCGGAATTTATTGGGTTCGCCTTCGGCTCACCCAATAAATTCCTCCGCCTCGACAGATAAACTTTCTCAATCCACGGCACCAACCTATTATTCTCTATATACTGGCGGCACAGGCACAATGTATACCAGCAGGTTAAGTATTGACTACTTATTTTACAAAAATAGAAACACTGTTATTTTAATATTAAAATTTGTTGTTAATGTGCTTTGATATGTTTCTGATATAACTATGAGTATACAATTTAAATACAAAACAAGAACTGTCGGAGGACAGCAACGCTCGACTATACGAAAAAGTTGTCACAAGGGTGTTTCATTGAGTATAATAATGCTTACCGGTACCTATATGAATTCATAAAATTGTCCGAAAATGTACAAAGGCCTGTTATAAAGATGTTATATTGAGTAAATCACTGCTTGATTATTTATGAATCACAAAAAGGCACAAACCCTTCATATTTGAACTTGACCTAGAAATCATCAAAACAAACTTTCAGATCAATTTCCAGGATATTTGGATCAAAAAAGTAGCCACTAGAGTGTGAACAAGATTTTTCTATTTCTAGCTCCTTTAACCTAATGACCTAATTTTTCATCCGCAATGACCCATGTTGGAACTCATCATAGAAATTACCTAGACAAGCATCCTGACCAAGTCTGATGACAATTGAGTCAAAAAAGTGACCACTACAGTGTTAAAAGGTTTCTCCATATTTGGGCGGTGTGACCTAGTTTTTGACCCCAGGTGATCCATATTCAAAAATGACCTAGAAATCATCAAAACAAGCTTTCAGACCAATTTCCAGGACATTTTGATCAACATAGTAGCCACTAGAGTGTCAACAAGACTTTCCTATTTTAAGCTCCTATGACCTAGTTTTTAATCTGAAATGACCAATGTTCAAACTCATTCAAGCAATTACCAAGACAAGCATCCTGACCAAGTTTGATGACAATTGAGTCAAAACTGTGACCACCAGAGTGTTAACAAGGTTTTTCCACAGTTTTTCCATCAGAAATTACCAATGTTCTGACTCATCCAAGCAATTACCTAGACAAGCATCCTGACCAAGTCTGATGACAATTGAGTCACAAGGTTTTTCCATATTTGGGCGGTGTGACCTCGTTTTTGACCCAGGTGACCTAAATTCGTACTTGACCTAGAAAGAATTAAAACAAACTTTCAGACTAATTTCAAGGATATTAGGATCAAAACAGCCACTAGAGTGTTAACAAGAGTTTTCTATTTTTAGCTCCTGCGACCTAATTTTTCATCCGAAATGGCTAATGTACAAACTCATTCGCGCAATTACCTAGACAAGCATCCTGACCAAGTTTGATTGAGGCAAAAATGTGACCACTAGAGTGTTAAACAAAGTTTTTCCATATTTGGGCGGTGTGACTTGGTTTTTGACTTAAGGTGACCCATATTCGAACTTGACCTAGAAATCATCAAAACAAACTTTCAGACCTATCCACGATATTTGGATCAAAACAGGAGCCACTAGAGTGTTAACAAGATTTTTCTATTTTTAGTTCCTGTGACCTAGTTTTTCATCTGACATGACCCATGTTCAAACGCATCAGAGCAATTACCTAGACAAGCATCCTGACCAAGTTTGATGATAATGAGTCAAAAATGTGACCACTAGTCTGTTAACAAGGTTTTTCCATATTTGGGCAGTGTGACCTAGTTTTTGACCCCATGTAACCCATATTCGAACTTGACCTAGAAGTTATCAAAACAAACTTTCAGACCAATACCCAGGATATTTGGATCAAAACAGTAGCCACTAGAGTGCTAACAAGATTTTTCTATTTTTAGTTCCTGTGACCTTATTTTTCATCCGAGATGACCCATGTTTTAAGGCATCCGAGCAATTACCTAGACAAACATCCTGAAAAAGATTGATGAAAATTTAGTCAAAAATGTGACCACTAGACTGTTAACAAGATTTTTCCATATTTGGGTAATGTGACCTAGTTTTTGACCCAGGTGACCCATATTCAAACTTGACCTAGAAATCTTTGACCCAGGTGACCCATATTCGAAATTGATCTAGGAATCATCAAAACAAACTTTCAGACCAATTTATTTTTAGCCCCTGTGACCTAGTTTTTCATCTGAGATGACCCATGTTCGAACTCATCAATTACCTAGACAAGCATACTGACAAAGTTTGATGATGATTGAGGCAAAAATGTGACCGCTAGAGTGTAAACAAACAAATGAGGACAGATGACAGACATTCAACGATCCTAAAAGCTTACTCTAAGCAAGCTCAGGTGAGCTAATAAAAAATCTCTGAGCTTGTCACACATTCACTCAATAGTCTGGTATGCATATTTTATTTTGTTCCTTGTCTTATTGTTATGTAAAAAACATTTAAATATAGATATTAGGTTAACGACACATATTAATTGAAGAACAGTCCAAAATAGACACAATTCTATAGAATAAAGAAACAAATATATTATAAGAAATACAAGTCCTCAAATTTACCTGTGATACTCCTTTTTGAACTTATCACATGACTGTATTCCTCTATCAATATAATGACTAAACATACAAGGAAAATCAAGTTTTGTGTCTAAATCATAAACATAGCTGCCATCTTGTGTCTTGTGTAAAAATATAACATGGTAGTCCTGCAACGAGACAGTGAAAATTCTATGTCATTTTTTTTTTCATTCTAAAATACAAACATGTACAATGATTATTTGGGTTTGCTTTGATAATAATGAAATAAACTACAAATGTTTCTATAAGACACAGAAACCCTAATACTTCAATATTTTGTCAGTCTATGAATGGATAGCATGACAGCAGGATGGGCAAATTTTCAGTGAGGGTATAAAAAGCAAGAAAAACTGATGTTATAATAAATCCAATGCCAATAAAATGAAACAGAAGCTTTTGTAATAACTTTTTAACATTTTTGGCTATGCCTCCCCAATGTTAATATCATCTGTCAAATCTTACTGCCGCGGTAATCAGGTCAAAAAATAGTACCTTGATTTTTCCTAAGCTGACTGATCACTCATCACAGACATTTACAATATGAAAATATTTTCATTCTTTTATTTCATATCTGCAATTTGTAAAGATAATAATTCTCTGAAAAATTCTTGATTTTTGTTTGTTATTTTTTCAAAATCACTACTCCGTGACATCATACTGCCGCGGTAATCAGGTTTAGGCATACGTTCGTTGGTAATAAATAGTTCTGGTATGAAAACCCTTCTGTATAATAACTTTATCAATATTTTTTAAACAAAAAGCATAGATGAAAATTTATAGGTAAATGCTTTAACTAGGTGGCAAATATTCTTTATTATTTTTGATAACAATTTTCCAATTACTACGCAGCGACCAGCTGTTTATGACGGGTCATTAACTAGAACGTTGCAACACCGTAGTCTCAATATCATGCATGTTCTTTTGTTGTTATAAACCATTAATAGTCCTTAATATTTTTTTAAAGACAAATAATGGTAAACTGTCGATTACATCAGAGACATGGATCATGCTTGCGTGATAACAAAGGAAAACTAACTTATTAGTACACCTTAGGAGGCTGTACGCGGAAAACGCTCATAAACCGCTTTATCATATAGCTGTTAGTAAATATTTTGCATACATTTAACTAAAAATTCACTAATGGTGATGAACATATAGTTTGAAAACATTATATTAAACCATGTATCGCCGGAAAAAAACTATTTAACTACAAAATCCGTAAGGACCCTCCGACAAAATTTCACCACAAGATTACATTTAATATTAGCAAAATAAAAAAAAGCAATACTTATATTTTCATCTTACATAATTCATTAATCAAACTTTTAACATAACATGAAAGAAATTTATAGATATACAGTAAGCAATAGTTTGACTGATGTAAATAATTGGGCTCAAAATGTAAAATCCATATTAAATGAATTTGGCTTTTCTTATGTGTGGGACAACCCAATAAATATCAAAAGTAGTTTCTTTTTATCTGAATTTAAGCAAAGAGTTATTGATTGTTTTAGGCAAAAATGGCATTCAGACATAGAAAACAATATCGTACTAAACACTTTGTATAATTATATCAAAAAAGACTTTTGTTTGGAACCTTATTTAAGAAATATTTATTGTAAAGGTATACGTATGAATATTTGTAGAATTAGAATATCTGCTCATAACTTAAGGATTGAAACAGGTAGATACGGACGTAATAGAACAAAGGAAATGAAAGATTATGCCAATTATGTAACTTACCAAATTGAAGATGAATATCATTTTATTTTAGTTTGTCCATGTTATAAGATATTCGAAGAAGATTTATCAAGCGTTATTACTATATTAGACCTTCTATGTATAAATTAGTAGATTTACTCCAATCAGATAATAATTTAAAAGCTATACTTGTAAATTTAGGAAAATATATAGATGTAGCTAATAAAAAGCGACAAGAATTGTTACTACCCGTTGTTAATTCATAACACATTTTGAAATGTTAATTGGTTCAACTTATAATCCTTTTTATCGTTAAAAAGATACATGTAATACTATACTTTTGATGCTGTTATTGTCATGTCTTTTCTGTTTTTTGGTGTTTTTCTTCTTACTGGAACTTTTTATTTTTATGAATGATAATGAAATTGTGATGTTCTTTGTTTCTTTATTTGCAGCTGTCTGTTATCCGTTAGAGTGTCATCAGTTAAAACTTTTTATGTTCTTCTGATTATTTTTTTCTTTGCTTTTGTCAATGTGACCACAGAATTATTATATTTGTAATTATTGTATGTAACGTGATACTGTAAATGTATAAGTTACCGAAATAACTATTTCTTCTTCTCTTATCTTTTAAAAATATGTCTGGCAATTGACAGATCCCTACTCTGATCTTTTATTTGTAAAGGAATAAATTTAAACATGTGCTCTTTTGTTTAGGAATATATTGTAGTGAAAGTCTTAATATATCCACTAATCTCATAATTAGAATTAGACAGGTCAGGGATTTATACAACCAGTTGTTTAGTTATCTACGCTCATTATAATCCCAATAGAAACATTCAAATATTTGGGGTAAAAAACATGACCAAAGTACCTAGTAGTCGTTTACCCGGTGGTGATCCCATTAAACTGATTATAGATTCGAATAGAAAACACAAATAGAAACATGTGTTTCGGTACAACAAAAATCAGAAGTAAAGTGAACAGTTAAATGACAGAAATATGTGGTCAAATATGTTTTAGCAAGGAAATAATTATTTCAGAGAAAGACGCAAAGATCAGTCTTCAATCAAATGAATGACCCCGTATTGTGTAATTAGAAAGTTTATTCAATTCTAGGGCAAAGAATCATAATTTGATAGTCCATGTGTAGTAAAAACACGCATATATATACGAATGACTTACAGTCGAGCATCGGAAATTCATCAACATATCTTACGAAATTTTAATTTGAAAACGATATTTGCGCGCACTGAAGTGATTAATGTTTATTTGAATAAATCCAATTAAAAGAACTTATATGTTTGTGTTCTAAAAATAATTGGCGGCATAAGACGAATTTCGTTTTAATTTTACAACACTTGAAAAATTACTACAGAAAATATGTTGTGTTTTTTTGTTTTTTTTTTCAACAAGAGTGTGTGTTTCAAGTTCATTTATTCTCGGCACCGGAATAACCATATGTCCGAGATTATAGCATCGGGGACGTCTTTTTCCAGCAGAACCTTCCTGGTAGCCCATTCTTTGTTCGTTAGTGGTAAAGGAGACGACAGTACTGTCAAGGCATCAACTTCCTGACTGACGACAACAAAAACGGCATTCATTAGCGCCAAACCTCCAGAGTAAGTTACGACAGGTCAACCAATCACCTCTGGTACTTGAGATGACTTGACCTCGACCTGCCGTGTGCCTTCTCCGCGACGTGCATACCTCTGGAGGGATTTGGAGAAGTTTCGACAAAAACCTCTAAACACGCTATTTATAACACCATTCATAGCACTGACGCTTCGATGTTCTCATCTATTTGCAGGAAATGGTCGATAAGGAAAACCCTACGTAATAACCACACACCCTGTTAACAACAGATTTTCCGCAGTATATATTTCAAGCTAGTGAGTTTTAAAATCTATCGATTAACTACCATAAGTTGGTTGAGTGTTGGCTGTAAAAAAGAAGATAGAACTTCCTGATCAATTTTCACTTAGGTTGATTCAAATTTGAATAAGCTTTGCAGATATGTATTTTTTCAAGAAATATTTAGCTTTAATATTATCCGAAGCCGTCAAAGTCAGCGACGAGTAATGAAATTGGAATAATTTTCTGAAACGTGATTTTATTCGAGATTTGCTTCGGAAGGAGACAACTTTCTGTCCGTAGAGCATGTATAATAATACTCATCACAAGACAGTGTCTCATTGATCTCAATTATGGTACTTGTAAATATGTATAATTTTTATGTTCAATTAAATTGTTGCTTAACTTGCAGTTCTTATTATCATTCAATGATATTAAAATGACATAAATTATTTATGATGAACAGTCCTAGAATATTTTGATAAGGAACCGTCAGTTGTAAAATGGTATTATGATCTTATAATGAACAGTCGCCATACCTGCTGGTATGTCATTTATAAATGGTTTTTAGGTTTTTCAAAATTTGCATGATTAACAATCCGAATGTAGACCTCAATGAAATGTTCTGGAATATTAACAAAATGAATAGTCAACCATATTAACCATATATATGAATGGCTGAACGATAAATGGCGCAATGTGCATAATAATTATCTTCTTATTTAACAGCACATTTTAAGCAAAAGGAAAGAAACTATAAGTCTGTTACATTCTGTCATAGCCTCCCTATCAGTACATTCAGTGCTTTGATTATGTTTTGTAACTAACTTAACATTTCTTATTGATACATATAATAATAAATCTAGTATTATTCACTTCAACAATGGGACAGTCTATCAAATTTAATAAATTGAGTACAGTTCAGTTTATAATCTCTCAATTATACATACCCAAATCACCAATCCATCTTCTCTTTTACTGGCTGCCTGTTCCCAAAGTGGTATCTGTGATTACATATTAAAAAGGAGTACAATTAAATTGCATTCTTTCATGATATCACTAACAGATCTTGTAAACTGAACTTATATCGAATATTTTCCCCTTTTAATAGCTAGGTTTTCAGTCACATCTACAATATAAAGGTGATATACTGACTTTTAAGGTAAACTCTTTGAGATATTCTTAATGTAATGCTCTGTGCATTTATATATATCTGGCATGTAATAGTGCTGGGAGATCCAATTATATATACATGTATGTGACGTTAACTAACACACAGTGTGTGAGATGTAATAGTACATAATTCCAATGCTTTTGTATGTAATTATTAGTAGTTTTGAATAGATATATAAACCAAACACATTAAAATGTTGTCAAGAGTAAGAGCACATCCTAGCCGATAAGCAAGCACCTAAGTAAAACCAGCAACCTTCCGCAAGCTTGCTGGATATATAGCTTCCTGACATGAAAGAATCTCAACTTTAAACAAACAGCAGTGAAGGACAACTGATTTAAAGTTGGTTCACCTTAACCATTTGTCTCTATACATGTACATGGTAGATGATGGTACATGGTAGATACATCAGTTGATGATATTAATATTGACATTCACAGACAATATATATATGTAAAACTGATTACAAATTTTTTTTTAAATCAGCACTTGCAATAAAATCTTTCTTAAAGACTAGATTAATATGGTATATACATGATGCACTAGTAAAAAGAAACTTTTGACAGTAACAGAAAATTAAAAATAACAATTAACAAAATCCACTATTGTGACAGTCTACACTAGCTTATAGAAAAACAGGATTGATTATGTGCCTAATAACCAAAATAAAGGTATCATTACTTACAGCTTGAGATTCATTTGATATAAATACACAGAAACAATTTCCAAGTTCCCCGCTATACTTTTCTTTTACTTCATTGGCGAGCTTCCAAACATTTTCCTCACTAAAACAAGAGCGAAATTAATATTGAAATTTAAAAAAAAAAATGCAATTTAGTTTTTGATGAAAAAAAGTTTGGATTTATACACACTTCACACAGACTCTAAATAAAAAGTATTAAGGTGATTTATCAACATTAATTTGGTAACTGTGTAAAAAATTAGATCATAAAAATGCATATTCATAATTGTCTGGTGCAGGACAATGATAAAATACTTGTGATTGTTAAATTTATTAATATATTTGGTAAGGTAAATATCTCAAAGCAATGTCATAAACATGACAATTATTTTCAATATTTTGACTGCAATACCGACCAATTTTTCAACATGATATTACATAGATGCCAGTATTTAGGGTGACTGTAGTATATAAAAAGCCCTGGTATTTGAACATTGTTTTAAAAATTAAAACAAGAGGGCCATGATGGCCCTGAGGTCGCTCACCTGTATATAGGCCCCCCCACCCCCAAACGTTATAGGGCCAATTTAACCTAAGGGCTTTTATTTGCACAAACTTGGTAGACACCCATAAGAAGATGTTTCATGCTAAACATCTAAGCTGAGTAGCTCATTGGGCTTTTTAAAAGAAGATTTTTTTAAAGTTTTTACTATACACATATACAATGTAGTTAAAAACAATGACACCCCTGGGGCCGGGCCAGTTTTGACCCAAGGACTTTTATTTGAACAAACTTTGTAGACACTTACTAGAAGATGTTTCATGCTTAATATCTAAACTCTAGTTATTTGGGTTTTTTCAAAGAAGATTTTAAGTTTTTTGCTATACACATATAAAGAAAATCAATGACCCCCGGGGCGGGGCCAATTTTGAACCCAGGTCTTTTATTTGAACAAACTTTGTAGACACTCACTAAAAGATGTTTCATGCTTAATATCTTAACTCTAGCTATTTGGGTTTTAAGTTTTTGCTATACACATATAAGGAAAATCAATGACCCCCGGGGCGGTGCCAATTTTGACCCCAGGGCTTTTATTTGAACAAACTTGGTAGACACTTATTAGAACATGTTTGATGCTAAATATCTTAGCCATAGCTTTTTGAGTTCTTTAAAAGAAGATTTTTTAAGTTTTTACTATATGCATATAGGGAAAATCAATGACCCCCCGGGGCGGGGCCAATATTGACCCCAGGGCTTTTATTTGAACAAACTTGGTAGACACTTATTAGAACATGTTTCATGCTAAATATCTTAGCTCTAACTCTTTTGGTTCTTTAAAAGAAGATTTTTTAAGTTTTTACTATATGCATATAGGGAAAATCAATGACCCCCTGGGGCGGGGCCAATTTTGACCCCAGGGCTTTTATTTGAACAAACTTGGTAGACACCTATTAGAACATGTTTGATGCTCAATATCTTAGCCATAGCTCTTTGAGTTCTTTAAAAGAAGATTTTTTAAGTTTTTACTATATGCATATAGGGCAAATCAATGACCCCCCGGGGCGGGGCCATTTTTGACCCCAGGGCTTTTATTTGAACAAACTTGGTAGACACCAATTAGAACATGTTTCATGCTAAATATCTTAGCTCTAGCTTTTTGGGTTCTTTAAAAGAAGATTTTTTAAGTTTTTACTATATGCATATAGGGAAAATCAATGACCCCCCCCGGGGCGGGGCCAATTTTGACCCCAGGGCTTTTATTTGAACAAACTTGGTAGACACTCAATAGAAGATGTTTCATGCTAAATATCTTAGCTCTAGCTCTTTGGGTTCTTTAAAAGAAGATTTTTTAAGTTTTTACTATATGCATATAGGGAAAATCAATGACCCCCCGGGGCGGGGCCAATTTTGACCCCAGGGCTTTTATTTGAACAAACTTGGTAGACACTCACTAGAAGATGTTTCATGCCAAATATCTAAGCTCTAGCTCTTATGTTTTTTTAAAAGAAGATATTTAAAGTTTTTTCTTTCGGTTGCCATGTCAACCAGAGTTCTGCATGGAATTAAATTCTTTGAACAATTTTTAAAGGTGACCACCAAAGGAACATTCCTGTGAAATTTGGATGACAAAAAAAATGGCAACCAGAGTTCTGCATGGAATTAAATTCTTTGAACAATTTTTAAAGGTGACCACCAAAGGAACATTCCTGTGAAATTTGGATGAAATTGGCTTAGTGGTTTATGAGGTGATGTCATTTAAAGTAAAAGTTTACAGACAGACGCCGGACGGAGGGACGCAAACAGACGACGGACGGACGAAAAGCGATCACAAAAGCTCACCCTGTCACTTTGTGACAGGTGAGCTAAAAATTAAAGGGCCATAACTCTGAAAAAAAATCATTGAACCATAAAATGGCGATAATATACACAACTAGACTTGGTACTGATCATTCCTGTAAAGATTGGGTGATATTGCACCAAGTAGTCCGGACAAGTTTTGTGAGGCCATCCTTAAAAAAATGTTGGTTTGCAGTAACGCGACCGACTCACAAAATTTGCCCCTACTCAAAAGTTTTTTTCATGGTCTGGATAAAAAAAAAAATTTTTTGAATAAGAAAATTATGCCTTGTACTTTGTTTTTGTTCTTTTAAAGGTTAATAGATCTACAAGAAATAAAATGTAGGTATTATTTGATTAGAATTCATTTATCAATTTATTAATTGTTACCAGGTTATCAAAGCATATATTGTCCAGCATTTTGAAATTCCATGTTTATTTGGGAGTACTGGTACAGTTCAATAAAAAAAAAAAAATCGACCTACCTACCCACCTTGAAAATTCTGGGTCGGGTTACTGCAAACAAACATTTTTTAAGGATGGCCTGACGGACAGACAGACAGTCACACTACCCCGGACAGACACTACCTTGTACAGGCAACACAAAAATGAAAAATTATTTTAACTGACTTTACCGTCCATAGGCTTTACCTAATTTCATATCATCAGTCATGCAGTCGATATTCAGGTAGACTTACAACTGTCACAATAAAATAAAACTCACCAATAGCAACTTGTGTAAATACAATCTTTTTTAGATTTAAACAAAGTCGTTCTTGCAAAATCAGCACTGTCTGGAACGCCAGTCATAATTTCTTTATGCCTTAGGTTTAATTAAAACTAACTGACATATTTGACTTGGTCTAAAAACTTTAAATGAAACACTAAGGCGTCTCTATTTTCATTTTCTTTACATGGGCGCAGACATATTGAAACGCTTGATTTTTAAACAAATATTAATAATGACTGCACTGCATATTCTAATCGATTTCTATATTTAAAGTCTGTTTTCCGGACACAAAGAATTGGTATTTGTTTTTCAATATATTTAAAATCATTTCCTTTTGTGAACATAGAACTATTCAAGCCAGAAAATCGCAACATGCAACATATATTTAAGATTGAATTTTGGTTTCAATCAAGTATGACCTTAAATCATGTGACTGTTCAAAATGGCTGCCACTAGAAAGCTTGGAAACATTGTTGCTGGTAAATCGGTTTTCTTCTGCTGTGATATGCAGGAGAAATTTCGTCCTGCAATTCAATATTTCTCTGATATAGTTACGTGTGCAAGTAGACTGGTATGTATTTTTTGAACTGTCATTCCTTTGAAAAACATTTTTATTTGATTCTTTTAAAAACACACAAAATACATGTAGAAAAACTGGAAAAGGTTAAGAAGGTTGCATAGACAATACATTTAAAACCACAGGAGTAATATGAAATTAGGCAAAGCCTATAAACGGGGAAGTCGGTAAAAATCCTTTCATTTTTCCGTTTTAAAGGTGTCATTCGGTATTATATGTACCCACTTCCGTTTTCACTCGGAACACTAGACGATTATTATTAATCCGAAAAGTTGAGATTTGTTCCGATATCGGAATACACCGCCTTTTATCATTGAGTTACATTGTAAATGGCGGCGCCTAACTAGAACTGACACTGAAAATTTCATTGATAGGTATAGAATTCTATATATTTTTTAATTGTTTTTTATTTGAATTTTCTTTTAGATTAAATATACACATGTAGTCTATAGCCGGGCAAGCCAAAGCCCGGGCCCGCTTCGCGGGCCCGGACTTTGACTTCCCCGTATAATGCTGTTCAATTATTTGGCACCACTGACAGAAGAAATTCTTTCCTCTAAGGTTTTTCTATAACAACTACATGTATTCATTGGGGCCTACTAATCTTTGGACTTCAACTGTGCCCATATTATACACCCATAAACACCAATTTTCCATTTGTTTTGAAAATATTTTATTTTGCTCATTTCGTTACACTTTAATCAAGGTAATAAATATATTATTTTAAAACACAGACTGCGGCAATTTAAAGAAAACACTGTCACTGTTTGTAACTTGGTATTCAGCGAAAATGGACTTTACTGAGTTTGATGGAAGCAAAATTTATTTCACCAGTGTCCAGTGCTTATTCAATCTTGACTTAAAAAAATCAAGGTTGTGGCTTCAACAATGTCAGGACCTACTTTAAGTCCGCGGGACCTCTTTCTGTGCAACATCTCCATATTTGGGACAGACATGCATGGGCAAGCTGATGACGTGTGACCTTTACTGTTGTGACCTGTGGCTGTGCAACCTTACCAAATTTGACATGTCAGTACTGAGCATATCCAAAAATAACCTACACTATTGACTTAGAATGTCTAAAAGTATACAATACTCTAGTAGGAGACTCAAGTTACAACAATACATTTTATACAAAATATAACAAATTTGTAATGTTAAATTCCTGTATCATTATATAAAGTATAAGATCTTTACCTATTTACAGCTTCAGGCAGCAAAGATTTTAGATATTCCAGTTATAGCAACGGAACAGGTTGGTATAATTATTTTATATTTTAAAATGAATCATGGTTACTAAATTAAGTGAAATTAAATATGATAACCTCATAGCATGAAACTGTAAAAAGAAGTACAATGTAGTTAAACTTATAAAAAGTAATTATTGTTATCTGTTTTTTTAGCTCTCCTATTTAAAGAAGCAATCAATAAACTTGTTCTTGTGATCAGTACTGTTGTTCAAAAACTTTTATGTAGTCCATAGTTAAAACATTTTAAGCGGTTTCAGCACAAAATTGGAATACTTTGTTATTATGACAAGATGAAGTTGTAAGACAAATGGTACAATTCTAAACATTTTTGAGTTATGCCCCTTTATAACTTAAACTTTATGTTGCGATTGCCTATAATGTAGAATTATTTTATAACTATGAATGGTATCAACATGAAACTTTTACGTCAAGGCACAGTTGTTAGACACGGACATTATTCTGAAAGCTACATTTTGGAGTTATTCACTTTCTTATACGCCCAAAAAATATTTGTCATAAAAATGTTATGCACACAGCAGTCTGTCTTTCTGTAAGCAGATTTGTGTCAGATTCACTCTGTATGTTTTTCACAGATTGTAGGAAATTGAAAAATCTTAGAGGAAAAATTAAAAGTCCTAATCAAGACAATGGGCAGAGTGCAGGTTTGGGCTTCCTCAAGCCAACAACAAGTACACAATTAGTCATCCTATATAAATTTTAAAACTTTGAGTCAGCTCTATATCTTTTGAATTGATAAAAGGAAATTAAAACTATTTGGCAGAAATTAAGACAATGTACAGAGGCTATAGCACAGGTTTTGGGCTTTCTCGGGTCTAGGTCAATTTAGTCACACTGACTCATTCTTTTTCTTAAAAAAGATACATGTATCAAAGGTAGATTACAGTGTATGTATTATGTTATTAGTATGTTACCTCTTTTTATGTTCCAAAATATAATACTTTTATAATACAAAATTTAGATTATAATGATTGTGGAGTTTATTTCTAGGTGTCAAAATTGCTTATAAGATATTAACATGAAACTTGGAATACATGATTAACATTGTAAGAAAAGGGTATTTACTATTATCTTGAAAGCAGTAATTTTTAATAGGCCAGTCATAATAGAAATTAAGGTAAAACTAATTCCTTCACAAATGTTTTCACGATCAAATAAAAGATAAACATTATCTACATTTTGAGAAAAAAGTCCTCAAAAAATCTCCTTGCAGAATCCTGAAAAATCGATCATAAAGATTTAGTAAAAATCGATATTTAAATGTGTCTCTTAAATTACACCATACTTTAAATTTATGCACGTGCGGTGACGTCACGTTTATTATATTTTCGTTGAAAGATCTGAAGTTACTTCAATTCCAGCATTCCTAGTGCAAAGGTGAGTATTTTTAGTCATTTTTATATTCTTCTGTATAAATTAGGGAAAAATATGTCAGCAGATAGATATAATTGACCACCAATCAATCGATTATGCAGATGACAAAATGTGTCATATAATTTCGCGATTTTAAACGCAATTTTGAATGAAGTTATCATTAAAAGAGAGTTTATCTTTATTCGCTGTTCTACATTGTTTCCTTTTGTACAATTATCTAAAATGACAAAGAATTAACCACACATCTTACCTATCTTAGTATTTAAAAAAATGTGTATGCACAAGTTATGTAAATTTTTCTTTCTACGGAAGCGTGCTGTGACCAAAATCACGAAAATCTAGGGATATTTTTAAAATGTTAAGTTTGACTTACTTCAAAGAGTTGGCATGTTTTATGAATTGTGGAAATCATTATTAAAACAAATAATATGTTAACTTGATGTAAACAAATGTATTTCGTAATACATAATGCATTTCTATGCGAAATGATAATATTCCAGCATGTTATATGAAAAATAGACAGCGTATCCAATAGGGTGTAATCAAGCTAAAACTATTACCTATTAATGAGGAAGTTGTTACTGGAACTTTATACATTACTTTTACTTCTTAACAGAAGACATGGATTTAAAACCCAAATTATTTGATTTTTTTGTAGGCTTAATCATATCATATGCATCTGAGAGTATGGGGTTATAGCAAATCAAAAGATAATTGAGCGCATTCACTTGAAATATTGTAAAATAATTTTAAATGTTAGAGCCAATACAAGCAATGTTCGTATATACGGCGAACTTGGCCGTTACCCATTGTATATAAATCGATATGTAAGAATACTTAAGTTTTGGTGCAAACTGATAAATACTGACAATATAATTTTACGGAAAACATATGAATTAAGTTTATCTGATTGTTATAAAGGTAAAAATCTGGGTATCAAATGTTAAAGAAATGCTAGATATAAATGGTTTATTCGAATACACTTTTTTTGAAAAAATATCGTAGATAGTAAATTATTTCCAAAATATTTAAACAACCAATTATTGATAATCATATACAAATATGGCATTCATCTGTAGAAAATAATTCTGTTTTACAACTTTGTGTAGCTTGACAATCTACCACCGTGATACCTCAGCGCCAGTTGTATGTATATTTTAAGTAATGTTTTCCATGTTGTTGTCAGCATTTTATAGAACAGTTGATGTATAATTAGTTAGAAGATGGATAGACACGTGACTTCTATACAAGGGGTAATGGGATGTGAGAGAAAAATGACTTTTTACGTAGATATATCTTATTGAATAAATGAAAACAAAACAATTGGTGTCTGTTTCAGGTTTGTTAATACAACAGAAATTGATACATCAACACACAAATTTACATCATTGTTTTACAGCATGATTATAATAAATGCACATACAAAAGAGTTTGCTCATACCAACATCTTCTAAGGCGTTTCCTATTATATCATTTCAATACTATTTCTTTGAATATCTTTTTGATAAATGTTTTTATGGACTTTATATATATCTTATTTTCAGAGGAAGGGCTAAACATTAGTATGGGATGGTTTGATTGCAGAAGACAATATTTAGCGAGAGTCCAGCCTGTTATTATTTTGGCGAACAATCCGTTGATTGGATGTGGCAAGAGTTTTCCATATTTCAAGTTAAGGAGAGGCTAAAATGGGTTTGTTTGAAAAGATCCAGCATTTTTGAAAAGTAATTAACAGGTAAATCAAAGAAAAACCTTCTATATTTTAATACACAGTATGTGTACCAGATTCAATTTTGTGTGCTACTGCATATATAACTTTTCTAAAGGGAATTCACATTTGTAAAGTTAAATGGTTTTCTTTTAAAAGTGTTTTATTTTTAGTGTCCAAAACTGCAGTTTTCTTACATTCTCGGAATTACTAACATCAGAGATTTGTTTGTTGTTTTTATTGTCACATCAACACTTAAATACGGGTCATATAATAACTTTCAATCTT